AATTTCATTTCTTGCAATGGTGCAAAATATTTAATTATATGTTTTAAATTTAATTTTTTTAATTAAATTAAGTTTATTCTTATGAATAATAAATATATATGCTACAGTTTATAATACATGTAACCAATCATTTATGTAAAATTTACAGTAAACCCTTGCCAAATGCAGACTTGCAGAACATGATGTTGCGTATACACTTTATCTTAATTGTCCTGTGAGAGTTTTGATTATATGTGGTTATGCTGCAGAATGTCAGACGTACTGCGATAGTCCTCTTTAATGACTGGTTTGAAAATGTATTCATTAAAGAAGTCACAAATATTACTTAGACTAGCAAAACCTGAGCTTTTAAGTTCTCCTAAATCTCCAAAACTCAGTACTGAAGCCCTCACAACATTGAATCCAAATGCAAATAAGGCACTAGAAGAAGGAAAGCACAACAAACTAACGTCATCTGGGAAGCAATTCAACATGAGTAACTACATAAAAATTATAAAACTCGCATGGGAACAAGTGAATTCATCAATAATGAATGCTCTCTGACATCAGTATTGACCAGAAGTTGTTACAATTTTTAAAAATTTCCACTGATTGAAAATTAACTCCTCCTTGTTTAATGATTTATGTCAGACATCATCCCAAGCAAAATAACCAGCTGTTTCAAAAATAATTGTATTATATACCTACTTATTAAGCAATAACAGAGATCTTTCAATTAACTTTTGCTTCATTTTTTCCATTTTAATTACAATAAAATTTAGGTTTGCATAAATTAAACATACTTCTTTAATCTAAACTATACCTAACCCTTTTTTTTTCCACTTAAAAAGTTAATTTTGTGGAATAACACCTTGCCATGTATGCAATATATTAATGATGTAGCTCCCTGAGTTCAGCAAGAGTTTACTGTATATCATTAATGTCGTTCACAAAAGTGCATTTCTAATTTCATATTAGTGCCTGCTAAAGACGTTTTGTGCTTTGAACTGACTTCTCTGGCACACTTAAATACACAATTATGATAAGATAAAGGGGTTATTTAGATTAATTTCTGACCCATTTGGCACCCTAGCCAGTCTGTATAGCCTATTCCATAAGCTGGTGTTAAGCCATATGCAATGTACTCAGCTACAAAATCAGTTTTTTTTAAAAAAATTTACACACAGGAAGTCTGTGCAAGAACCTAATTTTAAATCAACCCTAGATAGTTAACTAGAAGTCAAATGTGTAATCATTTGTAAATTTGATTTATGTTTTCAATCATTCATACAGGTGTATGTACATATTTCACTACTGAAGTAGCTCGTATCTTAAACAATATAAAATATGCATTCTTATTAACATGTGCACTCTTAGTAGCTTCCTTTTCCTTTAGTATTTTTAGTAACCTAACAATTTTTTTACAGTGTGTTAATAATTACTAAATATTTATAACTGATAATTGTATAAATAATGATAACAGTCTAAATGAATATCCTTCAAACTTGCCACAAAAATTTAAATTGCCTCGGTAAAGACATTTTGAATATTAAAATAAAGACCACCATGGTATGGTTACTGGATATTTAATGTGGCAGAACACTCAAGGCCTACCTTCCTGAAGGACTTTCTAAGAAAACTGGCTCATATTCATGTTACTCATATGGAAAAACACGAAAACCAAACATGCAGCCATGCTGTTTGCCTGGGTCTGAACCCAGGATGAACAACTAGCATTCAGCAGTCTTTAACTGTTTGGACACTATCACTGATAGTCATGCATTAAAGTCACTGAGCAATGGTGGTTTAACCGATGTTAAAAACCTGATGAATTGGCTGGCTGCGTGTTTGGTTTTCATGTTTTCCACATGAGGAACATGAGCCAGCCTTCCTTAAAAAAGGCTTCTTCCCCTTTCTCAGAGATCATCCTCCTGTGCTTTTCCGTAACCCAAATAATATTAGAATCAATTATTAGAATTAACATATAAATATTCTGTTCTATTTTTTTTAGATACCTGCTATGCTAATTTTAGTTTTATTTTGGGCCAAATTTCATTAAGTATATATATGCATTCTTATTAGCTTCACAGTTCTTTACAGTTCACAGTTTTTTAGTAACCTCAGAGAATTACTTTTTTCCGAGTACTAACATATATTCATTAAAATTGCATAACTGATATTTGCTAAAAAGATAATATCAGTTGAATGTAACAGGCCTGAGACTAAAGTATCATGAACACTGAAGTAAAGATTATTGTACTAATGACAAAATTTTCTTGCTTTATGATATAGTGTCAAAGCATTTTAGTTTTCTCAAGAGCTATTATAACCTTTCCTGTCAATGTAACTTTGTTATGCAGTGAATGTAAAATATAACACTATAGTTTTAAGCATAAAAAGCACGTTAAAACTAAGTATTTAGATAAAAAACAAAAGCAGCTTTATACAGGAAAATGCAAACAAATAAATAAGAATATTTATTGGGCAGAAAAGATCTTTTCTCAGTCCAGTAAATAAACCAAGACTGATATATATGAAAGATTTCAATCAAAACTTACCTTCCATTAGGGCCATTCATATCAGGACATCCTGACATCGTGCAAAATTCGGATATAGTGCCATAAACTAAGTTCGTATGATCAAAAAATGCTATAGCTGAAAACGAAAGTAAGACCATATAGTAAAATAACTTGCCTTATATACATAAATAAAATATGAACTAATACACAAGAACTATTTTAATCAATATTATTGCTATATTATGAAAAACCCACTTCAATTACCTTTTCAATTATCCTCAAATAGAGCCTCTTTTAAAGCAGAATATTACTCTCTGAATATCTTTTATGGAAAAAAAATCAGCTTGCATTAAATAATTATTTAAGCATCTTAAATCTTGTTTATCATTATAAGCAATTTTTGACTGGACAACTCTTTCCCATGGATTCTAATTAGAGAAGGTTTATTATAAGCCATACACTTAAATGATAAAGACAAAACATGCCTGATACTAAAGGCTCTCAGGGATACTTTTTCTGCTAGTGTATCCATTAACCTGACAAACTCAAACTAACATCTTACTCTCCCTCACCCACACTCGACATTTTTTAAAATTAAAAAGCAGCAATAAGTAATGGAAAACCAGAATTAAGGAACAGCTCAGAATAAGTATGAATCTTTAAACTTTGATTGATCTCAAGGTAACATAGTTGGCCCTATGCATCTGAATCTGAGACACACTGTATAATGCTCTCTTATACAGCATTATATACAGTGTGTCTCAGTATCAGGATTAAAAAATTGTAGGAGGGTAAGGTGCACCCAGATGACCCAGAATCACATATTGTAGAGTCACAAATGGGATGTGCATGTGAATTTTACAGAATAACATGAGATGATAATATATTTTTGGGATATCTGAATATAGCTATCATAAATGAAACTGAACAGAGGGTTAAGAAGAATAGCTTCAAGAGTTTGAGTAAATATTTTCCCTTTGGCACACAAAATGTTTCAAGATTTTCACAAGATAAGATTTTCACTGTGCATGAAACCTATTATATGAAACACTTTCATACTAATGGGGACTAATTATTTCAACTCGAAAAGATTTAATAACTTATCTTGATGAAAGCTTTGTGAGCAAGATTTTGCTAATTTATCATAACCTGAAAGATGTCTACAGATTTTTTCTCCATAGCACTGTTTCCTAAACATCCTAAAGTTTCTCAAAATAAAATAGAAAATCTTATTAAAACAGTTTTAACATCATGGATAAAAAATTATCATAACTATCAAATCTAACTTACAGCCTCTATGCGGCAAAACTTCAGTCACAAAAATATTCATCAAGCTTTATTAAGTTAATTACAAAACCTTCCATATGTTTACTAATACAATTCAGAAACAGTGTATTAGAAAACACAATTATTGACTCCAGTCATTTTTCAATGCATATTTTTTCCTCCAAAATTAAATAGTCCTTGGAATTTTTACCTACATTTTAGAGAGCAACAACAAAGCAAAAGTTGCTTGTTGGTGATCAGCAGTTCCTTATTAGGTAAAACAGCATTATTTATACACTTAAGAGCTGGTCCCAGGAAAATTTTAGCTATAAATATTTCATTGAACGGAACAGTGGCATTTAACTTATGCACACATAATGAACAATTTACTAACAGGACTTTCTACTCTAAAAAAACCACACAAAAAATGTTAAATTCTATATTTATAATACCATTCTACTCTCTTCTCTTCTCAAATGTTGAAACTGTTTTCATTAAATTCCCTACCTTGAGAAGCTTTTTTAATTAAATTTGGATTGTTTTGCACTATGACAAAGATGTGAGGGCTGTTTGAACTTCACAAAAGACTTTAAACTAACTTGTGTTCACATGACACATAAGGGAAAACATGAAATCATGTTTTCCCTTATGTGTCGTGTGAATACAAGTTTTGAATCCTGAACTATCAGCATTCAGTGGTCTTACTGCTCTTTCCCTGGCGGGTCTTTGTAATTAGAAGTATATGTCTAGGGTCAATAGTTAAGATAATAATGCCTATTGCTACCTTTTTTGACCACCCTGTACAAGAAGATTTTATACATTTTTATGAATATAATAGAAATGAACAAAGTTTTTGTTAATGTGGTTTATATTTGTAATTACTTTTACTAACAGATAAATTATGAATCAATAAAGCTCTCCTACGATGGTTAGCAATCTCATTTCATTTTTAAATCATGATGGAATGGTTGTCTGAACATTCTTTTCTTCTAAAAAGGTAGCAAAAAATACGCATTTCTCAATTTCACATATTCATTTCTTTCTTATTATCACTGAGCTATTTGCCTTAAAAAATTGTGAGCTTATAAAATTGCCCAGGTGCTAGCTAGTAAGAAAAATCTTTCATCTTCCTTAATTTCAATGCAACTGCAATGAAGGCAAAGTAACCTTACAACACGGGCTGGCTTTATTGTATCAGGGCCTTGAGGTTTTCTGATGCCTAACCCTATCATAGCAAATGATGCTTTTTGGTGTTCTCAATTTTTTGGTGTAAAACTACATTGCATTGGGAACTCCAAGTGACGACCCCAGGTCCTACCTCACCTTACCCTAAAACCTATACTACCTTAGAATTACCTCCTTAAAATATTTTTACGCCCACGTTTCTAGCTTCTTGAAATTACATTAACCACATTTTTACACTTTAATGATTGGTACAAAGCATATAATGTGTATAAGTATGGTGTTAGTTATCCAAAGTAAAATGATTTGATTAAGAAATAATTTCTTCTAATTTGTTGCTAGTTTTACATTTTTAACAGCTTAATTTTTTCAGCTGACTCGTTTTCTTTACCCATATATTTTTGTTTTTTTTTCTTATTTTCAGATATTTTTCTCGGACTTGCTAGTCAAATGTAACACTGAGTTAAAAGAATTCTTTCTACAATGCTAAACATGTGTTATAGACCAGTAACTCATGCCATTAAATTAAGTACGTTTACACTGATATGTATAAACACATACTTGTTCTTCATTTCTCTTATTTATAACTTCTGAAAAGTTGATCAATTAACAATTTATAATGTAAAATAAGGATATGATTTTCTTCACCACAGTGCACTTAACAAATTCCGACCTCTTCATTTTTTTTAAGCCAGTAGAAATGAAATGGAATTTCAATTTCTGTACTTTCAAAGGAAATATTTAGCACACTTTTTCTGATTAAAAAAAGGTAACAAAAACTAATATCTGTTTAGAATTATGTTACAATTATGCAAGAATCAGAGTTACACACCATTATGCAAGGATCTGCATAATGGCAAGCATTTAACTTGCATTAGAAGGCGAAGAAGTTACAGACATGGATGCAAAAGTCTTGCCAGTTGAATATTCTGAATTCCAAAATGCAAAATAAGAGGCTCCAGATTCAACCACCAATCAAATGGCAGTGACCAAAAAAATTTAAACAGAAGGATACTTTCTGTTTCTGAGCAACATGTTACCTTTATTGATACTACACGTCTTCTGAAGAATAAATTTATATATTCAGTTATTTAATGATATATGCTTTAAAATTACACATGGTAAAATATATGCTTTAAAATATTAGCATGGGAAAATGTTACTAATGGAATAAGATCTTAATACAGGGTATAAGATCTTAATGCAGGCAATATGCATTTTCTTACATACATACAAAAAAGGGGGAATACAGGACAAAACTGTTATATAATAGAAAGGACTTTATTTAAATCAGGGAAACCTCAAAGCTATGACAGCCAGGTGAGTATACAGGATGATTTAAAAACATCTGAGAAAGCCAGGTAAGGGGGGACCGAAATAAGCAAATTTTGGAATGGAAGATGAGAGCAGAAATGGCACGGTGGGGTGGCAGATAACGATTTTGAGGAGGAGGTAAAGTATTCAGCTGGCGTAAATCGTCATTACCCGCACGAATTTTCAGTGGTACGCATCGCTACACGAACGCGTATTTCGCCGACATACATTTCCTCTACGGGCTAAATTGGAGCTAAAACATAGACAGACAAATTATTTAAATTATGGGAAAAGTTCAGGAATCTAAATATACGGAAAGTAATGTAAATAAACAAATAATACATGTTTCAATTAAACAGCACTAAGATATTTCAGAACTAAACTCTCGAAACCAAATTATGAAACAATACTTACTATGTGAAGCTAGCCATTCATTATAATCTAAACCAGGTGGTAGATCTATAACTTCCCTTAATTTTGACTCAGATATTGTACATTCCAAAACAGGTGGTTCTAAGTAAAGTTTGGATTCTTCCTGTGATGTAGCAACTGCATCTCTATCTTTCCGACGAGCCTTCCTGCAGAAAAAAATAAGCACATATAAGCATAAACAACATGTATTTTTCACATAGCATAATCTAAAATATTTCTTACCTAATCTTAAGCTTATTCAGGCAGTTTAAAAAACTCTGAAAAATATTCATAGCTCTGTTATTTCCAGTTATAAATTCCAGTTATTCCAATTACAAATTCCAGTTATGACAAACCAATGATGTTGCCAATCGATGTTATATAAGATAAGGATCTTTAAAGTGGTCTATGTAGAACACCCAGGGGTCGCTTTGGACTCGAGAGTCGATTAAAGAGTAAATTAAAAAATCACTCGTACATTACATAACGAAACTGTAACGATTTAGTTTTTAAATTAATTTGATGCTATTATATAATTGTTACATATGAAAAAGAAATTCATTAATTTACGCCATTTACACATAAAAATGCAAATAATCGAAACGAAATCAATTACAGCGGTCCTATCCAATTGAAACCTTCATCTTGAGGTAGTTTTTCTACACCCGTCATAGTAATCAGCGACACCAGTTACTTCCGCTAACTTTAAATAAATAAAATATTAATACTGTTTAAATTAGATATACCTAATCTAAAAAATAATAACCTCTGTGAAATAAACCATCTAAAAATCATATCAGCATCCCTCGTCCTGTTATAATTATGTAATAATGAAATAGAAGGGAATCAATAAAATTTTGGGAAATTCTTGAAGGAAGTCGACTGTCAAAATAGTTTGGGGGACCACAGAATTAAGTCTCTCTTTTAATTTCAATATTATCATACCGTATTTCTTAATACAGCGTAAACTAATCATTAAACTAATCAATAAACTGCTATTTCTTCTAAAGTCCTTTTTATCTGGTCTCCTAAACAACATATTGAACGTTAATACTATAAAAAATAGGTTTCTAACGCCCAATTGGTCGACTGCAAAATTTCTCACATGAATTAAGAAATGCAGGACAATTTACACTTGCAAAGAAAATATTATTGCATCCTGTTTAATATTAAATGAATACTAAATAAATATTACACAAAATCAAAAAACAAACATATTTTACGACTCCATTAATGCCGGTTAAAAAATAACGCACGTGAGCTGGCTCTTTTGAGTACAGCTGTGCCGAGAGCGGAGCGAGCAAACAAAGTGAAAGAAAAAAAAAATCAAAGCGGATGAAAAATTAACCATTAAATTAAATACTAATTTGAAAATGATAGTAGTACTATAATAGTAACGCAAATTCCAGATTACGACGTTGAGTTTCGTTGGAAAACCTCGGAATGGATTGGATTATTTAATTACGGCAAAGTACACGAGGGCTATCTGGCTAAAGGGAGCTGATACTGGAAGCTGATACTGATTACTTGTGCGAGCTGTTGGACTCGAACAGCAAACGCTGACATACAACACTAAGCTATCAGATACGTGAACATATCACTACTGAAGAAGCCGACACCTCGGACTCAGATCCACCAGGAAAGCATATGACAACTGCAAGCCAGGTTCAACTGCAAGGTTCAGCTGAAGCGAAAATTAGTTACAAAATTTGGAGAGCATCGATTCTAATAAACAGTTGCTAGCTATAATGCGAGGAATAGAAATATATACATATATATTAGCTTGCTATGAGGAAATTTTACTTGATTAAATAAAAAAAAAAAATAAACTCTCGTTAGACAACTTTGTTCATCATTTTATGATGCTATCGGTATCAAAATAATTCCTTTTTTTATGCAGCACATTTATTTTTTATATGATTTTGTATCGATATGTAAACGAAAGTCCCACCTACAGCGGTAACTTCAAGAATTTTATGAATTATCGATAGCTTTAAAACGCTCTACGCTAAACGCAAGGTTGCAGTTTTCAGTTTTACTTTCGCGTGCTTCCCCTCTTTTCGTGTTATTCAGGTGGACCCACTACCAGAATTTCCTCAGTATTAAGTCTCTCGCCACGGCTGTCCTACTATTACTGTTACATTCCCACATAAATCTAGCAACTCTAGTCTGTGCAAATAAATATGTTATGTAAGTTTGTTTTCTTGTATACAAGATAAAGCTTTATTTTAAAAAATCTAATATTTAGAAAAGGTATAAACATTTTTAAACCATATCTGAATATTACTAAAAACATAAACGTTATGCATAAAAAGGATTCAGCGATTTTCATGAACGTTAAGTACAGTGTATAATTCATTCAAATATCTCAAATTTCATTTATTTTATGACAGTTTCCAAAATTACAGTTACTGAATGATGATCAGGCATTAAAAAGCTTATAGAAAAATATTTATTCTAGAAACAAAGATTTATTGTATAATTGTAAAGACAAGTAGAAATGTTACCATTTACATAAACGTTTACGTAGGTTGACTAAAATGTAGCGTCGAATTTGTGCACTAGATGGCGCTCGTATTTTCAATACAACACGTAGTTCCTACCTTTGAAGATACTATAGTCTGGTACTGATATTTTCAACGCAAAATTTAACATAACGTCATGCTTTTTTTTTTTTTTTTTTTTAAATTGACAGTACTCTGTTTTGAAGATGTTTGATAATATGATATATTTTTTAACAATTATATCGCTTTATTTCCGCAAAGGGAAAATGGGATTCAGACGATGATAAAAATTTGTTCAATCTTCAAGGTGATGGTTCAAGTAACGAACGAATGGTTCAATGATTGCTTAAAATGTTACATGATGAATATTTATTAAGACGGTAACAAACGTTTTGTAGATCTACTGAAATTAATTACAGCCAAATACCTAAATATATGTTAAATAAAATAATTCACGTTACGTGATAAGGCAGACGTCTGATATATGAAAAATAGCAGCATCTAGGGTAAAAAATCATTTACACCGATTTAGAATGCTTTCCTCTCTACTTTATTTTTTGACAATCAATGAACCAATACATAAATGTCTTAATAGTTTAAGAAAATTTGTTTTTCAAAATTCGGGTTAAAAAAATTGAAGTAGCTACAAAAAATTTTAAAAACAAATATCCTGAAAGGAGATATATTCTAGAAATATTAATAATTAGAAAATGTTCAACAAAACTTTATAAATTCTTACCAGAGAGGGGGGCGGAAGGGCTGAGATGCAAGTTAACAAACACTGTAATAATGAGAAAATAAACAGGACGAACGAATGTCATGGCTAAATATTTCCATTTACTTAGCAATAAGAAATTATATTAGTCTGTAATACGAAGATGCTACTTATTGCAATTGTTGCTGTTTTGCAGCACGAGGAATGTAATTCCATTTTGTTCTATATCAGTATAATATTAAATAACCCCCCCCCAAAAAAAAAAAAAAAAAAAACGGAGAATTGTTTCAAATAAACGCACAGCCAATGATAAAAAACCATAAGCAAATATGAAAACTCTAACTCGTAAATAGTGGTTTTATGCTTTGATATTGCACAAATATAACACAGTTTTACATTCCAGCTGAATGGTTACACAAGATGACAAAATGTTCAGTATCTTTAAATCAGTAGTGCGCAACCCTTTTTGTGATCACGAGTATTCAGCACAGCCGCCGAAACACAGAACTGTTCACAGAAGTACACTTTCAGTTTCGATACACCCAGGGCCATCGCGTGAGTATCTCATGCCCGTAGGCTAAGAGACCCCCTACACGTATACGCACAATGAAAGCTCTTACGACCATCCAGTTTCCGGATGATTTTGGCCTTTGATTATATAGGTGGTGGCCTCAGAGATCATGACTATCAATGATTTTTAATACAGTATTCCATGTAATTAGTTTAAATTCATTGTTATCGATATTTAGTTCCGTTCTAAAAAAAAAAAAAAAAAGTCACTTTCAGAGCTCGTCCTCTGCAGGAGACTGTATGTTTATCCATAAAATACAAATAATATTTATTCAATACTAGATTAAACAATATTTTGCTAGAATTAAAAAATCGAAATGACGCAACAGTTTAGCCTTTCATTGTTTATGGTTAAGACATGAGCTTACGTATTTTTGCGCCCCTACACGATCGCCAAATGTTAAGACCGGTCTTGCGTCGCATCTCTCTAAGATCACAAGCGTTCATGAAAGGATCGCCGACATTTTTTAATTAAGTGTTTACTTTTTGTTTCGAAATATGCTATTTTCAGCTAGATGAAATCACCGACATGTTTAACTGCTAAAGGTAATATCCTTTTAAAAAAATATATATAATATAATAGTAATAGCCTTTTCAAAATATATATCTAACCACTTCTTTTATTTATTTATTTTTGGAAACTTAGGCTCTTCGAAGTTAAATAATTCTTTAAAGGAGCTGCACTAACAAAAATACTGAGCGCTTTTAAAGGAAAACTTTACTCACGTTACGCCCACCAGCGACCGAGCGGTAAAGTCACTGAACACTGGTAGTTCCGAACTGGGTGCGATTCCAGGCGAACGGGCTGGCTGCATTGGCGTTTTCGAGGTTTTCCCATGTCTAACAAGAGTACGAGCCAGTTTCCGTTACAAAGCTCTCCACGAAGGCCTTCCTTCCCTTGGGCAGATGGCCCTTGCGTGCTTTGCCACAGTTAAATAAAACCAAACTTACTCACGTTACACATGAGGAAAACCTCGAAGCCAGTCCGTTCGCAAGGGCGCCGAGCACGGGATGGACTATTGGTATATCTTACTATTGGTCTATTGGACTATTGGTCTTATCCACTCGACCATCCATAGAACAGAAAGAAAAACATTTTATTTACATGCATATAAATTTTGCCCCCCCCCAAAAAAAATTTGTACTGATTTGATTACATGCAGCATTAAAAATAAATTTCTTTTTCCTAAATTGTGCGATTTCATTGATTAATTTTCGGGATAAATACTTAATTAAAACGTAAAGTATGTTTGAATTAATATGTACAGTTAGCCACAAAAGTCTGCGTACAGACTAAATTTTAAATTAAAAAAACACTTAAAGCATAGAAAAATGCATTTTAATCATTGCATTTTTTTCTTCTATTAGCTAAAATTGT